TGTTTTGCAAGAATGGTTATATAAAATCTACATAATCGTGAGACGTGTTCACTGTGATTATTTAAAAAGGGATGAAACTGGTGTACTCTAGGCATGATCTATGCTAGTTTGATTATCAGGAATAGTAGTGTTTTAAAAGCTGAAGGTTAACGTCTCTTTCTATAGATCTTTAGTAGGTTGGTTACTAACTTAAAATAACCAATCTATGTATGCGATTTTCACATGATTACTCAGCTAACAATCCTGAAAATTAAATGAAGTAACTAGTTTCTGCAACAAAGTTCTGAAAGATCATTAAGTTTTGAAATGTATTTGTAGGTTCTCAGATACATTTCATTAGCTTTAGAAACAAAATAACATTACATCACGAAAGGGAATGAAATAAACTTCTCCATTTGTGTCATGGTAAATAGATACATTTAATAACTGAAGATATAATTTACATAAATAGATAGTCATTAATTAATGAGAAAAAATAAATACTGAGTAAAATAACTATTCAACTGTTGATAATAAGAAAATGATTTATGTTAACTAATTCCTTATATCGATTCAATTCCTACTTACTGGCCATAGAAAGTAGTATTGTATTACATGATAAGATGCAGATCAGACTTTGCTTTCATTAGTCCAAACTGTCATTATCATTGCGATGCTTTCGAAATTTTCGTAACATGCGCTAACGAATAAGTTTTATTTTTTTTGAAAATTTCCTTAGTTTCATAATAATAAATTAATCCTAAGTGATTTATGACTTAACATGAATAAAACTCTGTGATAATAAATTCAACGGTACTTTGTATGTAACTTTTAAAAAGTTTTAGCGGTAATTTGAAGTTTTTTTGCAAGACTTACTATGAATTAAAAAAAATACTCAGCGATATTCACTGAAAGTCGTTTTTAGTTAATCACATGGTAAAGTCCAGACTACTTGAATGATCAATTAATTAATCTGTTTAGAAAAATACTTTATGACAACTACAGCATATTGTTTTTATTCGTTTATATTAATCTAGATTCTTTCTAACTACCCTTTTTAATTCAGAACAAAAATTAACTTAATCGTTACTTGGATAAATAATGAATATATCATACCGCTTATTCAAGTATACCCAAATGAACTTAGCTTTGATCAATAACAATAACAATGAACGTAGTAATATTCACTTAGTGTTGTTTACTTGTATCTTCCCATTGTTATTTAGGACTACAATTGATCAGTCTTTTGTTGGCTTATGTGCATCGTGTGCAGACTGCCCCGATATAAGTTTATTTGTCTTATGGATTCTTCTCGGTTATTTACAACTTTAAGACAATATCATAGGTTGATTATAACCAGTAAACATACTTTAGACCAAATAAGTTAAGATTAGGAAAAAAAGCGATAAATATAAAATAACCTACGAAGATGTTTTAGCGAAACCGCTTGATTATTAACCAGATGCCTGATAATGTACCACTAATTTTATGAAGTTTTAGGAGAACTTAAAAAAACTAAGTAGAATCTATTGATTCTAGTTTTTAGAGAAACGATCGGATTATAGTCGATTATGAAAGATGCCAAAAAAATCTAACTTCTTACTCTAAACAACACTGTTCATCCATTACAATAAAAATAACAAAAGGTTTTGTTCAGTTCCAGTTGAGGTATTTTTACCTGATAAAATAGAAAAATATATCTACAGTTAATTGTAATTGTATTGCATTTATAATACAAGATAAGGCCCATTAAATATATATGGATAAAAAGCTCGATTCTATTAACTAAAAGAATTTTTTTTATAGAAAATGTTTAATCACCAAGTTAAGACGATCCTATAGACAAAAATGCATCTGACAATTTTTAATAGTTTTCACTAAAAATTAGGTAGCAAGTAAACATCCATGTTCAGTTGACAAAACCATCCAGGTTGATTTCTTCATTAATATTATTATCAATTGCTGAGATTGTTTCAAATATAAATTACATATATAATGACTGCTCTATACTCGGCGCCCAATATCTGTCAAACTATTCGTTCTAATCTTGACGAATATGGGTATAAATTATTGAAATAGGTTTATGGAAGCTACCCAACTTTATTAGTTCATGAATCTCAATAGATGTTTGAGGAATTTAACTTGTGAGCTATTGGTATTTTGGCCTTTCGTTTAAATTCTAAAATAAACTTTCAAAAATAATTTCATTGACTGAAAAATACAATGAAAGTTGACGTTGGGGTGAAGAAAACAGATGGTTCCTGTTCTCAGTCGCGTAAATTTTTACTCCCATAGTATAAACGAGTAACTATGCAAACATTCACATCACTTCAGTACTACTAAGTTTGAACTTATGATTTAAATGGATATCTGTTAGGTAACTGTACATGATTTCATTAATTAATCAAATGTTGATTTTCAAAGATTCCTTTCATCATGTTTTCTGATTTTCCGATTGATTAATTTATCAAAACCTTTTCAATTGAATTTATTATCTAAAGGCACCCAAAACACTTAGATTGTTTTTAATTATAATTATCAAGTGTTTATTATAATTCTGTGAAATATATATATCAGCTTTATATCACGGTTTTAGAAAAAAGTTCAATAATTAAACTTTGGAAATGATCTTTAAACTTCACCAAAATATTAGTAATAAAAACTATATATATAACAATTAACATATTCCATAAAACCACAATTTCTAAATAATTTTATAGCATCAATTCGAAGATCTGATTGAAATTAGGCATAAAATAAAGCTTGTCGCTTACAGTATAATGATAGCATAATATCACAATGCAAAAAACTTACAAATAACCTCATTACAACAATTTCAATACGATTTTTACCATACACTGATTCCGGTTAGAAAACCAGTTATGATCAGTTGTAATCTTGACAACTTGATCTAATGTTTACGTATTGAGTGGAACTCGCATTTAAAATTTTGTAGGGTCACTTGAATAAAATTAAGTAATAATGACTTACTGTGGGACGCCTCAGCAGTGCGCATCCACGATCCATCGACGGCCGTCCAGTGCTTGCAGGTTTTCCATGGTGGTCTAGCTTCAATTGACTCATGATCTCAACTATTGAAATCGATTTATTTCTTAACTGGTATTTATAATGATTTAATACTAATACACATGATTTATTCATTTGATATCATAAGTTGATACTTTTAACTTATGTTAGGATTCATTATTTAGACTGTTGAAATTCATGATCAACACAATTTTATTTGCAAACAAAATACACCAGTACACCTTGATTACTAGCTAAAAATAAGTTAACCATTAGCTGTCATTTACAACCAGAATATACACTCATAAAATAGATAAAGTAGATCAGCAGTAAGTGAACCTATTATAACCAAACAAATTCATATTGATGAAAAAGCTGTATACTGAGTTTTTGAAATTCCTAAGTTATTGGGAGTTCAAATTGACCGAAGTTCGATAATAACTCGATAGCAATTACTGTCTTGGTCTTTTTTAAATATTGAATTTTGTTTTTATTCTTTTCAGTTAAGATTATGACTAACTCTAGATGATCATACAGCAAATTAAACGATTGAAATGATTTGTGCTTCAGGTGAATACATCTAATAATGTATGTTCTTCTAGCTAGTTGGTGAGATTGAACAGCTTTTAGTGTAGTTCCACTACTTCAGCTCTTTCTTTAACAGTAAATTGGTTCGTCGTGATAAAAACATTTGTGAATATTTGTCATCTTGGGTATCATTGTTGTTATCTGCCCTTACATTTCTGTCAATGAAAGAACTGATTTAAAGCTAATGAAATTACTAAAATGTTTATATTTATATGTTGTTGTTACTCAGAGCAATAATGAAGGATATAGAAATAGACTACCTTACTTGGAAAACACAATATTATGAAAACTGATTATTGTGTTTAATTTCAACTAGCTCTTATTCTCGAACACATTTCAAATTATAACTTGGCTAATTAGAACTGGTTAGTTTTGAAAACTATGAAATGAAATAATTTAGTAAACTAATTAAAAATTAAGGAACAATCAATAGATGTCTTATTTTATTGGGGTTGAAATTCTTAAAGAATCCTGAGATAGAAATAGTTATTTAGTGCTTGTTGATTTTCAATGACTAACGATTTATTGTACAAAATCACAGCAAACAATAAACTTAAAAAAGAATAAACAGAGATTAAGATATACGAAAACTTGTGTATTCACTTAAATGACAAACAGAAATATCTACTGGTGTGTTAATAAATTTTTCGGGGTAAGATAATCAACAACAAAAAAGTTTCCGCGCAGGTTTATTATGGCGAAAACATATGATGATACTTAGTTATTTCGAATAAACAAAAAGAGAAATTCAGATCGAAATTTTGCTCTAAAGTAAGTTTCATATTTTATGAGTGGGTAAGTTTTTTTAATTTCAAAGAGTATGATGTGTCTGCTTTCTTTTTTATGTAAAAGTTAACACCCTAGAAGGTTTACAAATAGAGGAAATTTCATAATGTGTCCCAATTTTTTATAACAATCTTGTTTTCATAAAATTAGTACCCACTTTAAACCGAAAAGTGAAATAATGTGGAACTGTTTATCAATATTTACTAAAATTTCGAGGTAAAATTAAACTTACACACTAATATTCAATAATTTTAATGAATAAATATATTTGCGAAAGTTCTAAAGTGATTTTTGTTTTTAGCTATAAATAAAGTCAACTGGAAATTTATTTTTTATTTCGTTTAATTCTAACATTAATTTGGAATCTATCAGGAATATAACTATCAAACTGTTTTACACTAATGAATATGTGTTTTTTAAGGATGAAATATATTTTATTCATGTGATAGTGTTGGATAACAGTATGATATCTAGCTTATGTATATATGTTTTTCATATTGTATCACTGTTTCTCTCATAAATAAGAATTTCAAATAGTCTCAGTAATATTTAACCTAATATTTGTTAAAAACTATATGAGTTGAAATGATATGATTAAATGGAAAATTGTCTCGAACCTACTGAAACAAAAAATTTCTGCATCTGATGTCAAATCACTTATAGTAGTATCTAAATTAACTCTATCTGGAGAACCAGTAGGGCATTTACCAGTCCTAAGTCTGAGTAAAGGAGGACTGTTGGACTGTACGTTTGGTATCTGTATTTCGTAAAAGTGAATCTATCTACAGAATCGCCAACCGGAAGAGATCAATAAAGTTTTGTTTTAAAAGGCAAAGAGTCTTCAAAAGAAAACAAGCAAGTAAATAAGAACTTTAGGACTGAAAAGTGAAAATATGCGGAAGACTTGACAGTTATAGCAGAATAAGCTGCAGCAGAAGGATGTGTAGAAGAACTGTATGATATGACTAAGTTAGCAGAGAAATACAGTAGACCAGAAGAACCGATCAAGAACAAAGAAGGAAAATTGACTGGTAAGGATCAACAGCATCAGAACAGGGGGATAGTGGACCAGGAAAAGCTCTTGAATAAAGGAGTTTCAATAAAGCAGCGCGCATAGACTTCTTTTTAGATGTTAACCCACCAACAAAAAATTAAATTGACAGGGCCTTCAGATGAATCAAGAATGACGAGACGGCAGGAACAGATAGCATACCAGTTGAAGCACTGAAGTCAGATATATAGGCAACCGAAAAGATGTCCCACCTTCTCCTGAGGAATTTTGGAGGAACAATAATTGCCATCAAACTGGAAGAATAGTTACCTCACAAAATACCAAAGTAATGAGATTTAGGTGAGTGCTAAAACTACAGAAGGATCACATAACTGTTAACACCAGTTACATTTTTAATAGACGCTTAGCTAACTGAATGAAAGTCTCAGTAGACGTCCAACTTCGAGATCAACAAGTCGGTTTTCTTAATGGACGATCATGTACCGATCAACTGGTGATAATGCGGATGATCATTGAATATTCAATTGAATGAAAGCCATCATTAAACACCAACTTCCTTGGTTAGGACAAAGCATGGATAGAAGTAATCTTGTAGAATCCCTTTTAACAGCATGGAATAACTGAAAAGACTGTCACCAGCATACCAAACTCTCATGAGGGACTGAATTACAAAGTTGCTTATGGCGGGCGGCTTGCCGATACCTTTCAATCGATCACTGGATTCAGACGTGAGTGACTGCCTTCGCCTTCTCATTTTTGGCCAGCTGTTGACTGGATTACGATGACCACATTCCAGAGGAAGTACAGATACAGTGGACGGCTTGGATGGAGCTGGATGATCCGAATTTTGCATATGGCTTGACTCCTTCACAATTTACACAGCAAAAAATATGTGCTAAAAAGGTCATCGTAGTAGTGGCCGCCACAGAAGTTTGGCTAAACACTTACAACAGTAGAACGAGATCGTTATGCTCAACCAAATCACATTTGATTGGGAAGTTCTGAGATAGCTGAGAGAACTTACATGCCTGGGCAGAATCATTCATAAACAAGCAGAATCTAATGCAAATATCACTAGACCAATCAGCAGAGGAAGGGCAACATCCCTACAACTTAAAACTATCTGGAACTCAAAACAATTGTTCCCCATGACCACAGAATTCTCATCATTGACGTAAAAATAGTACTATTTTATGTGAATGAAACTTGATGGACTTCCACTACCATCAAAATTACATTGGTATTTATAAACTTCTAACTATGAGAGACATCATAGTGAACAAAAACTCAGATGGGGAGAACCAATTTATTATTTCATTCAAACGTACACGGGGTATTCGTAAAATATGAAATCTATACAGTAAATACATTATGTGCACATCTTTCAGTTGTCCTTTACACGCTTGATGATTCTTCCACTTCTGTTGTTATTACAATTGCTCACTGTTCCTCTTCCCATTCCATTCAATTTAATCTTCTTCTGACAGGCGGTTCACTTCCAATTACTACCACATACTACGTATATCTGTCAATATGAGTAGCATACACCATAATACTTCAAGCACATTCGCCAGAGACCATCAGTAATAAACTGCTTTGGAAGACAACACATCAGTTGATAGCTGAGGAGGAAATTAGGAATAGACAATGGAGGTGAAAATGACAACTCACAAGATGAACCCTAACTTCTAATCCTCAATGCAAAAGAAAAGAGATAGAAAGATGAACATTTATCGCGCGTAAATGGAGGCAGACATGTAGACCATGAATACCATTTGGCTTCAACCGGAGAGTAGAGTTCAGGACAAAGTTGGTTAGAGATCCAGCGAGCGGAGGAACAAACTCAATTAAGCAAATATCAAAATTACAACTTGATCAGCAAACGTCAATCAACATTGTAAACTAGAATCTCATAATAATAGTTCGTACCTAGCAAACAATCTATACATTATATGTCAGAATAAATAACGATTTAAACTGCGAAAATTTATTGTTGAATTATGACATTTGAGTATATGTTGTCCTGAATAAAGTAGTAACAGGATCGAGTGTCTTAACTGTCATCAATATTACATTTCCAGAGAACCTGTTTCAATCGTATGCAAACATCTATCTTGATTAAGTTTGAGCTTCATTTTAACAGAGAAGCACAGCAATCCAGCTTGTAATAACTATCTACTAAATACTTTTATGTCATCAAAATGTACTCCAATTATTCTTGACCTTCTATGTCCGACATATAAGGCCGGATGAAAAAGTTTCCTGCTTCATCGCAATCAGTTTGTAGACCGTTTGATCTACTCAATTGCAGCTAATTTTAACATCATAAAACATTATAAAGTCATTAAAATTCGCTTATCTTTTTCTCTTTTAGATTTCTTAAAAATGCTTGGGAATGCGTTAAAGATTACTATCTTACTGATAGCTTGGACTAGTCACTGTTCGGCACAATTCGACCTAAAAAACTATCCCGACTTATCAGGATATTATGGTGAGGATCCGTCTGAAGAACTCGTCAAATCTAAACTAAAAGATTCAGAACTATATGATCGCTATAGAATAAGACGTCATTTTATGCCTCAACGATTTGGAAAAAGATACACAAGTAAGTATTCAATTAATGTTTAAGTTAAAGAAGTATTTTTTGAAAGAACCTAAACATATGTATTGAAACAGATGAATTTGATACCTTTATCACACATTTTAAATGAAATAATTAAAGTTAACATGTGAAAGTGGTGGTTGATAAGCTTGTTTTTATGAACCTATTACATAGTGTTAAAAATAGCCAATTGTTTGAGTTGTGTCTTTGGTATTCAATAAGTTATCACATCTAAATTAAACATGTTATGTGACTTAACCATACACTGTCTGTAGCCCCAAAATATAATTATAATATGTATGAAAACATTAACCGAATCAGTTTATTTAGAAAACTCAATACAAGCGATCAAATAGATATTATGATACGTAAGTTCGTAAATATGTTCTGAGAAATAGGGGGTTGGTACAAACGAATAATATTATAGATTTCTACACTATTTCCCACTGTAAGAATCATTTGCCGATTGCACACATCTCGAAGATTCATCATCGGTTCAACTATAAGTTAATGTCATTTAAATTCACAGAACTCAGGTCAATGCTACTCACTGAAGTCAAATATCTCAGACAATATTATGAACTCATGAATCTAACATTATGCCACTACCTTATATATTTACTATTTGTTTAACCGACCGAATACAGTGTTTTCATTAATGACCATTGTTTGAATTTAATGTCGTAGACCTTAGTTATCCGAAATCTTGTGACGTTTCCATATAGTTTGTATTTGTGCATCAAAGTTAATATTAAAACTGTTTTAGTTTTTCATTTATAATAATTTATATATTTATTAAATGGTCACCTTTGTTAAAGTAAACTGATATACTTTCAGTATTTTATAAATAAGCTAATGAAAACAGTCGCATTCATATTTACATTTAATTAGTAAACGAATAAAACGAATAAACATAGGTTGGGAAAATTTTTGAATGACTAAAGATAGTCATTACGAAGACACGAAGATACTAAAATAGTTTAAATATCTTACTGGTGAAATCTGTGATTACACTGTTTCTTAACTTTTGTTCGATCAGTTTTAGAAGTGTAATTTCAAACACTCCATAGTAATGCCAAACAATCATTTAAATTAAGGTTTAAAATCGATCCTGTTACAGCACTCACAATAATTTTCTATAAGAAGTTAAACATAATAAACAATTTCTTATACATAATTTATTGAATACGGTCAGCGCGATCAAATTAACATGAAATCTATTATAAACAGGTAACGAAATAATACTAAGTAAAGATTAGGTCTGACAGTGTCAGGATTTCCTTAATAAAGAAATGAATATGACTCTCAATTAAGATTAGTACTGAAATCAACATAAAAACTGAACTTTACTTAGATAGTTTTAGATCATTTCATGTCAGATGATTTGTGTCGGCCAATACTTCCTAATCGGTTTACGTAAGATAGTTCTGGTGATACAAAAATCACTTATCAAAAACTTTTCGGTACTGATTGATTATAATTCGGGAGTTAATGTCAAGTTTGTGTGCACCTTAATGGTAAATGCGTACATACAAATGACTTATTTATCTAGGAAAGTTACCCTAGTGGAGGAGCATAGACAGCCCACCACCACTCTCCATTCAACCCTGCCATGGACAATCCTCTTCTTCAGTCCTTTCAAGTTGCTATTCATCCTTATCATGTCTGATTCCAATTCCTAATGCAGTGTGTTCGTTGACATCCCACTTTTCCTTTTCCATTCACGATCCATAGTTGGGGCTTGGCTCGTGATGCAGCTTGGTGATTTCCACAATGTATGTCCTACCCACTTCCAATGTCTTTCCCTAATTTTCTCTTCAGCTAGAAGCTGGTTTGTCTTCTCCAACAGTAGGCTGTTGCTGATGGTGTCCGACCAAAGGATATTGAGTATCTTGCATAGACAACTATTTTTTATAAGTGCTTGTTCATTTATGATGATGGTTGTCGTAGTTCTTGAAGTTTCAGCTCCGTACAGTAGGACTGTCTTGACGTTCGCATTGAAGATTCTGACTTTGATATTGGTTAACAGTTGTTTTGGCTTCTATATGTTCTTCAACTGTAGGAATGCTGTCCTTGCTTCGCCAATGCTCCCTTATACGTCACATCCTCCACGTTCATCGATGACGCTACCCAGATACGTGAATTATCCCACTTCTCCTAGAGATTTTGCATCAAGTGTGATTGAGTTGGCGTTCTCCGTGTTGTATTTGAGGATCTTCGTTTTCCCCTTAGGTGTGTTGAGACCCATTGATGCAGAGGCTGCCGTTACACTAGTTGTCTTCATCTGCATTTGTTGGCGTGTTTGAGATAGAAGAACTAGATCATCTGCGAAGTCCGAATCATCTAGTTGCATCCAAGCTATCCATTGTATCCCGTGCTTCCCGTCAGATATGAAGGTTTTCATAATCCAGTCGACTGCCGGAAAAAGGGAGAGAGGGAGAGTAAGCAGTCTTGTCTGACTCCAGTCCTTAATTGTAATGCATCTGTCAGCTGTCCTTGGTGCACGATTTTGTAGTGTAGTCCGTCGTATGAATTACGGATGATGTTGATAAATAATGAAGTAGCTTAGTATTACTGATTAATAATTAAAAATAACATGAATTGGGATCAGTCAGTCAAAAAAATAAACAAATTATAGGGTTATGACTTTGAACTAAGTGATGCAATTTATTCAGAGGAGAGATAAGAAAATTACAAAATGCGATGTGACATAATGTCTATAAAATCACCATAGTAAGGAAAGATTCGCAACTGGGCCTTTTGGATAAATAAGTCCGAATTTAGTCCTTTAACGGTTTTGGCTTCCGTGAATTTGTGAAGAACAGCACTCGACCGTCGACTGATGTTGAAAGACCAGTCTATCCTTCACAGTTGTCCTCCATAATAATTTTCTCATCTGCGAGCAGATGTAAGGCTTGGAACGTATTGTTGAAAGTTATCATGAATTGGTTGGGTTTCTTATTATCTCCTAGGAAGGCTGTATTGAAGATTTGTCTAATGTCCTTTAGCATTAATAAAGCTAGTAGCCGTATTATGGACGCATGTGCATGAACGAGATCGATTTCGTATATGTACATGCGTCCATAGTCGGGCTACAAGTTTATTGTTTAAACGTAGCTTGATCTCGCTCCTACCACAGTTTCACCGTAACTCAATCATATCGTTGATACCATCACAAACTATTAAACAATAACACAAAGGTTAGAATCACAGAAAGAATTAATTCCTTTAAGATTTATAATGGGTCACATGTATAACTGTAGAGTACAAAAAGCTTTGACTAGGAATTAGGAGTGATTATCTCCTATCGGTTTAAGACAAATTACTAGTCATTAACTTTTTGATTCTTTGTTTAAGTCAACACTATTTTCTATAAACGTTTACACTCAAACCAAAGAGATCTCTACTGTTGATGATAATGTTTATCATTTAATAGAACAAAACAAAAAAGCTACTAGGTGGAAAGTGTTTATTTGGGTTTCTTTTCAGACTGGACGAACATATTATTGTTTAGTTTTCGTTGATAGCGCATTGTGAATATATATATATATATATATATATATATATATATATATATATAAACTTATTAGTTGCGCTACGCTTGGTGGATTTTTTATGCTGTTTCATGAATAACTAATCTTCAACTTTTGGTTTATTCACAGTATGTATTCATAAAGATCATACATGTATTTGAGCGAGTGACCGAAACCATAGCTTTAACTAAAGGTTTGTTGACAACCAAGAAATTACAACCCGTGAAATACATTTTATTTTGCTCTGCTGCTTTATCAACCTGGTTCATTATATTTCCCTTAAATATCTACTCAAGTAAACTATTGCCAAAAAATACCTGCAATTAAATCAGTCCAATTCTAAAAACTAATTAGTGCATGTTGGTTGAGCACAAATTAAAATTAACCTTCAGAAAAAAATAGACTGATTGTAATTTTTTACTATTCAGATAATACATTTACATTGAGCAGTCAGTACTTTTCAGTGGATTATGACAGGATATGTCCTCTTACTAACCTGGATAAAGCATTCATAACATTTATCTACGGTGTTTAAGAATAAAAGCCAATCTTCAATGCAATAAGACAGTGAAGATGAAGTGAGATAGTCAAACTTTTAAAAAATGGATCATTTTAATCAGCTTGTCAGTTCTAGAACAGTTACGTATCTCATCATTGTGAAGATTCTTAAGTTAATATTGAATTCCTAAACATCTAGATCAAGGTTCTTAGTGAATAATAACCCATTCATTTACATGGTTTTAACCAATCCAAACAAATTTTGTAACATTTGATTGTTTTAAAATAAACTTTCAGTATTGTTTAATATAAGTTTCTGTATTTTGTAAAATGCTTTAAAGAATGTGGGAAAGTTATGGAACAGTTGGATACATAAACCTAGTAACTATAAATACTTGATGTGATCAACTTTTGTCAACGAAATGGTCTGTATCAAAAGATTAGAAAATCATCCTAGAAAATAAAAAAGGGAATGACATACGAATTATTTGTATTATGAAAACCAGCCAATCGGTTAACATAAATTAAAAAGACATGATTCGAAATTTTGAAGAGATGGAACAGCAAGAATCAGATGATTCGAAAATCGAACTGACTGATTATCAACAGTTTCTATTCGAACATATAGATTATGGTTTAGTCTTTCTGTAGTAATAACTTCAACAATTATAGCGGAGCTTTATTTGTATATTTGTTTACTAACTGTTTCAAGGGGTCCCAATATATGGTTGAGTTCTTATGCAATTCAATAAATTTAAGCAACTAATTCCTTAAAACGTACTAAAAAATTCCCTATTTTCTCTGCCGTTAGTGCGCATTTAAAGATAAAGGTATGTGAACTGATTAAGCATTCCAAGACAGCATGGAATAAATATGTGTTCATATACATTTTTGTTATTATAAGTCCAGTTTTGTTTGCTGGATAATAATTACGAAATTTCTGTGGTGTTCGAAATGTCGAAAATATCTAATGAATACAAATACGTTACGTAAATCAATAAAACAATACTTTGTATATTCGAATCCGTATTGTTCTTGTTAAGAAAAATGTTTATAGTACGTTATGTTTAGTTGCAGGTTTTTACGAATCAGAATGTGTAATGTAGACATTAAGTTATTAAATTTTATTCCTTTGTTGATAATATTCCCTAAAACAAGAAAGAAAAATTTTTGAGGAATTGTTTGTTGGACTTACATCACATATGAACAACGTCAACTGCACCACTACCCTTTTGATTTTTACCAAAAAACAAGAAAGAGGCTTTGAGTGATCATTTTTGAGTACATTAACCTTGTGCTCACAAAGACAGTTTAACAGAACGTACATTTGGGAAGCACGCATAAAGATTTTTGAACTCAAATCAATTGTCGATATTTGGAAATATAGCAAGTCAGAATAAACGAAATACATATTCAAAACTATAATCATTGATTTCATCATATTAAAGAGCTGATATACTTCGTATAACAGAATTGTAGACCCGAATAGGCTAGCAGTTATTCATACTAAATTCTGTTCATCGGACCAGCGCCATACACCATATATATATGAAATTATCAAAGTGACTATCAAAGTAGCAGTAGTAGAAGTAGCAACAACATCAGATGATGATGATGATGATAGATTCAATTTAATCCATATGAATTTGTAATACATTTTCATTCCATTATATAAATAAATTAAAGAAATCAATAGTAGGTTTCTTACAAACTGCATAGCTTACATGTTTAATTGTTAGTAAATATTTCACAACATTTTTTTAATAAAATAAAATCTCATCACATTTTCGTCTTTTCTTAATGTTTCTTTACGACACTGATAAAGGATTTGTGCCACAACGTTTTGGTAAAAGATTATACGGTAAGCGTAACATTGAATTGTTTAAAATTTACTATAATACGAACATGTGGCGCTAACATTAAAGTTATGTTTATTGAGTTTTCTAAGTATCATTTCGTAGATCATTTGTAGTTTAATCAGATCATCTTTCTAAAAAAGTCAAACAAGAAAATTGACTTTTACAAGTTTTTGTTACTTAAATGTCATACTTAAACATAGTTTAATTTAATTGTTGAATTCAAGACTCACTTGAAGCTAGACCACAATGGAAAACCTGGAAGCACCGGACGGCCGTTTCGTCCTACTGTGACACTCTTCAGCAGTGCGCATCCACGATCTGGTGAGAAGTCGTGACCAGCGGAGTTCAATCGGGTCAGTTGTGAGATAGTAACTCACTGATGACAATGAAGGAAGGTGGAGCAACTTCGTAGATAGTTTGAACTTGGACATTAACACCGTTGGATGACGGCCAGCTCAGTGGTCTAGAGGTTAAGCGCTCGCGTGCGTGACCGATGAGTTCTGGGTACGAATCTCGCGAGGCGAGATAGTGGATACGCACTACTGAGAAGTCCCACAATAGGAAGAAGTGGCCATCCAGTGGTTCCAGGTTTTCCGTGTTGGTCTAGCTTCAATCGACTCATGAATTCAACAATCAAATTACTATAATATCCATAAAACCCCTCTCTGATTATAGTTTATTTTCTTTGATGTTTAAAATTTCCATAAAGCCATAATATGATGTTGAACAAATTTGAATACAGGATTTTAAACTAATTCTAAGGTTTTCGTTAGTTTGATATTGATACTAGTAATTTATGCATACCTCTTTTCTTAATAAATGGTAATATCAATATTTAATGAAATTATCTATAAACTATTCGTATATGAAAGAATATATTATGAAAATGTACGCTTGGATCAGATGGTCTGTACTAAATTAGAATTAGGTTACTTCGTAGCATAAAAAAAAACATGGTTGAAGGCCGCTGTATGATTACAGATACCGATGGATGTGACGATGAGTTTATTCATCAGAATATGAACAAATCCTCATCATATTCAACTCTTAACTGGCTAACCGAAATTCTCTAGTCAGTCAATTGTGGGCTTGAAAGATAGGCCACCGTTGATTCATGTAGTTTTATTGATACAATTTTCCAAAAAAGATATTGAGAATGTTGATGATAATTTATGTAGTACCAAAACAAAGTAGTGAATGTCTAATGATTGTAAAGACAACTTATATCCAACTACACGGATTTTTTTATTTAGTTTACAATATGCCTAACAATTTTTTTCAATATGATTAAACATTAAAGGAGGTTTAAACGATTTGATCTTTCTGGTTACATTTATCGATCAATGGAGCCATTGAGTTGGGTGACAATTTATAAAATCAGTTAGTTCATGTCTACATCAATATGGTGTAGGAAGCTAACATTTAAGTTCAATGCAGGTTATACCGAATGAATCAGAATATTTACCATTGATCAACTTGAATTATTCTAAAAACTCATACAGAAATCTTCTAGTACTACAGGTATGCATCAGCTGGAATTCTGTCTTCCCATTGTTAATAAAAAGAACTATTGTTGAAACTAAAATGTCATCGTTATCAACATGATTCAATTTCCAACACGCTATGAATATTGTTTATAGCTATCGGTAATATCTATGTGATTTCAGTAGTTGAGATCATGAGTCGATTGAAGCTAGACCAACATGGAAAATCTGGAAGCACTGGACGGCCGTTTCGTCCTGTTGTTGGACTCCTCAGCAGTGTACATCCACGATCCCGCTTGCGGAATTCGAACCCATTACCATGAGCGCCTAACCACTAGACCACTGAGCCGGCCGGCATCTAACGGTGTTAATGTGTAACTATCTTTGTGATTGATTTTAATTGACTGAACATTCATAAAGTACTATGCTCGCCAAATCAACTGTACTTATTAAACCTAATTTATGATGGAGTAGGTATAATATGAAACAAAGTTTTAAATTAACAAATAATTTATAAGGGCTTTACAGCCCATTTTAATTCATTATGATAAACTATCTTCCAAATTGAACAATACTCATTCTAAGATTAATAAATATTTAAATATTACAAAAAAAGTATCAATTGAAAAGTTTATAAGTTACAAGTGATTGTGATGGACCATTTATTTTTTTGTAAAAGGAAACTATCTAATTACTAATCATAATTTATATTTAGAAAATTTCTAGAACATTCAATATTTATCTTTATGTTAAAAACAACAACAATCAATAAGATTTCGTTTTATGATTTAAACATTTCATTCCCTTTAGTTCACTATTATCAACAACAAAAAAAGGAAACGATAGTTGAATGTCCTTAAAATCAAATGGTCTATTAAATTGTTAACTACCGTGGTGGAAACAAAAATACGTGACCTATATAGTCATTGTTCGTTTATTATAATTGAATGAAGACATTTATGATAAATCAGAAAATAACTAATAGAAATGAATAAAACTGACATTAAAATGTGTAATTGATGCTTCTGCAGGTAAATATGATAGTAATTTCATAAATTAGACAATCAGATCAACGTTGATATTTACAGTTATGACCTCAGTTTAATATGACTAGTTAGTTCAAAGAACAATTTTAATTTTAAAGAAATTAACCATTACAATATTTAAAGTATCCATTAAATAATTTACAAAATGGTCGGATAATTCCTTGCAATTATTTCATCTGTAATTGGATTTATTTCGATTAATATATAAGAGATTCAATAGGTAGGTATAAAAATATCAATACAAGGTTTGATATCAATCGAGTTTTCATCAACCGCAAAGAGCTAAACGGGTGTTTGGTTCAATTTTGAGATCATTTTAATGTGTACAACACATACAGACATGCAATATGTGCCTACACTGTTTGTGAATGCATTAAAGTTATCACAAAGTATTGCGACTGGAAAAATTCATCAATGTGGGGTATTGAAAAGAAATAACTTTAAATAGAGTAGAAACAAAGAATTGAGCAGAATAACATCAAACTATCATCATGTTAGAGTACTGATAGTGGAGACATATAATGAGTGTTGTAAAAAAATGCAATGTGTGAGCTAAGATACTGAATCATCAGACATAGTGACAAATAATTAATCGATTATATGGTGAAGTTACTTACTTATGCATATTATCCCTAGTGGAGGAGCACAGACAGCCCACCACCACTCTCCATTCAACCCTGCCATGGACAATCCTCTTCTTCAGTCCTTTCAAGTTGCTATTCATCCTTATCATGTCTGATTCCAATTCCTAATGCAGTGTGTTCGTTGACATCCCACTTTTCCTTTTCCATTCACGATCCATAGTTGGGGCTTGGCTCGTGATGCAGCTTGGTGATTTCCACAATGTATGTCCTACCCACTTCCAATGTCTTTCCCTAATTTTCTCTTCAGCTAGAAGCTGGTTTGTCTTCTCCAACAGTAGGCTGTTGCTGATGGTGTCCGACCAAAGGATATTGAGTATCTTGCATAGACAACTATTTTTTATAAGTGCTTGTTCATTTATGATGATGGTTGTCGTAGTTCTTGAAGTTTCAGCTCCGTACAGTAGGACTGTCTTGACGTTCGCATTGAAGATTCTGACTTTGATATTGGTTAACAGTTGTTTTGGCTTCTATATGTTCTTCAACTGTAGGAATGCTGTCCTTGCTTCGCCAATGCTCCCTTATACGTCACATCCTCCACGTTCATCGATGACGCTACCCAGATACGTGAATTATCCCACTTCTCCTAGAGATTTTGCATCAAGTGTGATTGAGTTGGCGTTCTCCGTGTTGTATTTGAGGATCTTCGTTTTCCCCTTAGGTGTGTTGAGACCCATTGATGCAGAGGCTGCCGTTACACTAGTTGTCTTCATCTGCATTTGTTGGCGTGTTTGAGATAGAAGAACTAGATCATCTGCGAAGTCCGAATCATCTAGTTGCATCCAAGCTATCCATTGTATCCCGTGCTTCCCGTCAGATATGAAGGTTTTCATAATCCAGTCGACTGCCGGAAAAAGGGAGAGAGGGAGAGTAAGCAGTCTTGTCTGACTCCAGTCCTTAATTGTAATGCATCTGTCAGCTGTCCTTGGTGCACGATTTTGTAGTGTAGTCCGTCGTATGAATTACGGATGATGTTGATAAATAATGAAGTAGCTTAGTATTACTGATTAATAATTAAAAATAACATGAATTGGGATCAGTCAGTCAAAAAAATAAACAAATTATAGGGTTATGACTTTGAACTAAGTGATGCAATTTATTCAGAGGAGAGATAAGAAAATTACAAAATGCGATGTGACATAATGTCTATAAAATCACCATAGTAAGGAAAGATTCGCAACTGGGCCTTTTGGATAAATAAGTCCGAATTTAGTCCTTTAACGGTTTTGGCTTCCGTGAATTTGTGAAGAACAGCACTCGACCGTCGACTGATGTTGAAAGACTAGTCTATCAACTCGATGCCCTGCAACACAGGGATGTTTTGCAATATCACTATTAAAAGCCTTAAATCTGACTGACCCGAGCCTTTTTTGAATATGTTCTTGCAGTGGAACGTGGATTCTTTTTACTGTTCTACTAATTAAACATTTGCAATTGAACGTTACAACAATTTTGATTTTAAATAATATAGATTGTGAGAAGCTGATGAGAACCGAACTAATTAAAATGAATTAATTTTATGCTGTTCAATACTTTTTTCTTGCTCTATTCATGATAATTAGGGGAACTAAATGTGTGAAATAATTTTCTTGCATAATCTTCAGGCTGGCATTCTGAGAATTTGAACTACTTTGATGTTAATTCAGTTATTTTACAGCTGGGTGCTTAGTTCTAGTACTGAAAGTCATTAATATGAAATTGAATGAACTAATGAGTCGATATTACTCTGGAGTTCCAACTTAAGATGAAATATATTTTCATCACTTCATGATTTCAGTAGTTTTTTAAGTGAAATCAACATGTATTTTTAAATTTTCTTGAAGACGAACAAATCTTTATTAACCGTCAAACCAAATAATAAGAAAGTTCTATAACATACTGAGAAGTTTCATAACGTTTTGAATATTGTTAACAAAGTATTAAAAAGAATTAAAAGTTCTAAAACAAATCTGTTAATGTTCTTTGGTGCCCAATAGTCTACCTGGTTTAACTAAGTCTCTGAATAAGCCAACAATAAATTTATTAATTCCATATAAACCTTCTTTGGAAGCAAAATTACTTCGTAAGCTCTCTCATTACGTGAATTTATGTATAATCATGTAGCTTGCAGACGCTTGTGGAGAAATGAAGGTTTCTTGAAACAGAAACACGTATTTTGGAAAAATTGCATAAGAAACTAAATTGGAATTTTATCACAAACTAGAATGCAACTAGGTTTACTTACATTGTATCAATTTTAATCCAAACTGTTTTTATTCATATGCAGATGACACATGACCACTAGATTTTACCATTAATTATGTTGTAACATATTCCTTATTGATTATGAAATAACTTAGGTATTTGTATAAACTTGGTAAGTGGTCAAAATTAAGGATGCTATTCCGGAAAGTTCTATTTTCTCGAGAATATATTCTTAAACAAAATGTAGATTTGCCATAACACTTGATAATTGATCTAATGCTGGAATGGCATCAAAGGATTTTAGATTTTAAGCTTGAGATAAAATTAAGTAGCCAAAAGTAATTAAAAAATGTTTTGAGTTCATGATTCTATTGGTTGAAGTTAAAAATCTGGAGGTTCAACTGTCAGAGTAGATAACGTTAAATAAATTGTTTAAATTTCTTTCTTTTCATTCTATTTTCTTGTAGAAACGATGAATCGGTGAATTTTCTATATTATGTTTAACGTGCGTTCAATTAACAGTTATTGTAAACTGACAGCAGACAATTGAATGTGATTCGGTATAAATATATTTATATCTATGTATATCTTCAATTCTTATCATAATAGAAGGCTTCAAGCTAAAAGGCATAGAGAACTGTTTGCCAACAATCCTCAAATTTACACCATTTTGGTTTGACCTTTTTTTCATATTTTTGATTCATTAAAAGTAGTTGTAAGAATTCTGAACAGTATTCAAATATTAGTTTCCTTAGTATCATGAAGAGATAACTAAGTTTGAAATGTTGCAAAATTTGTTATCAATATCAGAAGGGGTTTTGTGGAGATTGTGGTAATTTCAATGATTAAGATCATGAGTCAGTTGAAGCTAGACCACCATGGAAAACCTGGAAGCACTGAACGGCCGTTTCGTCCTATTATGACACTCCTCAGCAGTGCGCATCCACGATCTCGCCCCCTGCGAGTAATTTCAATTAATGTCAGAAGGGATTTTGTGGAGATTGTAGTAACTGAAATTACTCGCAGGGGGCGAGGTCGTGGATGCGCACTGCTGAGGAGTGTCATAATAGGACGAAACGGCCGTTCAGTGCTTCCAGGTTTTCCATAGTGGTCTAGCTTCAACTGACTCATGATCTTAATAAGTGAAATTTGTTATCATTTATTTGATACGAATAACTATTTTTTTAAAAATAATAAAGGAACAATGTACGGTTAGAGAAACGAATTAATGTAACTTTTCCAATTGAAATTTAACAAAATGATAAAGGTGTTGGGTTGAAAAATTTATATATCCATAAATGTTGTATAACAATCGCTAAATAAGGCATAGCTTGAAGGAGTAAATTAAGTAATCTTAAAATTATTATCAGAAGGGATTGTGTGGAGATTTTAGAAATTTCACTGGTTGAAATCATGAATCCATTGAAGCTAGACCACCATGGAAAACCTGGAAGCACTGGACGGCCGTTTCGTCCTAGTATGGGACTCCTCAGCAGTGCGCATCCACGATCCCGCTCCTCGCGAGATTCGAACCCAGGACCTATCAGTCTCGCGCCAGGCGCTTAACCAACTAGACCACTGAGCCGGCATCCAACGGTGTTAATGTCTAACTTCAACCAATCCACGAAGTTGCGCCACCGTACACCATTGTCTTCAGTGAGCTGATATCTCACAACAGACCTGGTTGAACTCCACTGGTAACGGCTTCTCACTAGAACTTCAGGAGTATCTATTTTGAAGTCAGTCACTAGTGAGCAGATGATTATTATTATTATCAGAAGGGATTGTGTGGAGATTTTAGAAATTTCACTGGTTGAAATCATGAATCCATTGAAGCTAGACCACCATGGAAAAACTGGAAGCACTGATAGGTCCTGGGTTCGAATCTCGCGAGGAGCGGGATCGTGGATGCGCACTGCTGAGGAGTCCCATACTAGGACGAAACGGCCGTCCAGTGCTTCCAGGTTTTCCATGGTGGTCTAGCTTCAATGGATTCATGATTTCAACCAGTGAAATTTCTAAAATCTCCACACAATCCCTTCTGATAATAATAATAATCATCTGCTCACTAGTGACTGACTTCAAAATAGATACTCCTGAAGTTCTAGTGAGAAGCCGTTACCAGTGGAGTTCAACCAGGTCTGTTGTGAGATATCAGCTCACTGAAGACAATGGTGTACGGTGGCGCAACTTCGTGGATTGGTTGAAGTTAGACATTAACACCGTTGGATGCCGGCTCAGTGGTCTAGTTGGTTAAGCGCCTGGCGCGAGATTGATAGGTCCTGGGTTCAAATCTCGCGAGGAGCGGGATCGTGGATGCGCACTGCTGAGGAGTCCCATACTAGGACGAAACGGCCGTCCAGTGCTTCCAGGTTTTCCATGGTGGTCTAGCTTCAATGGATTCATGATTTCAACCAGTGTATTCTTAAAATTGTTGACACTGGCATTAATGAATTTAACTAACTTGCTTAATATTTTTATATTCTATAAATCAACGTACTGTTTTACTAATTATTTCCATTTATATTAATCACTCACTTCATAGAGTCTCAATCTAACATTACCACGGTCACAAGTGCTACTACATTCCTACAGTTTTATGCCAGTTCTATCACGTTAGAAGTTTACTAACTTTAGTACATAAGTAAAGATTACAACGAACACTACATAAAATAATTAGTCAGTCACTTATTTTCTTCCGTGTTCTAAAACACTATTGGATAAAATGAATATCTAACATGTGTTATAACAAGTTCAATAGGTATAAGTGCATCGATAAATACACACTTAAGTAATCAGATGAAAGAGACCATCTTTTAGATTGTCGCTCAACCCAAACAGACTACAGAACGCTATGGCTAGAAATGATTCAAGGAGAGATTTTTGACGCAGTTTGAAATCCTCCTATTGTTTGCAACTATGTTAACTTTGAGTTTGACCTTTAAGCAGTGCTCCTTTTTGGCACAAACGTTATTGATTCTTTTAAAAGTTGAAGTTTAATATTCTTATAGATGAATTTCGGTGGAAAGCCATTTTAAAATGTTATTCTTAGAACGGCTAATTCTTCATCTACAACACGGAGAATCCAAGTCTGTGCGATTTATTTGACGAATAATTCAATCGACTAATTTCTACTAACTGGAACACAGTTCTAGATGATTGACTACTAATTAGATCACTTAACTCTTCTAAAAAAATACGTATCAAAAATATATGCTTACTAAGTTGTTTTTTAGTTTCCTAACAAACAGATTGGTATCAGTATTTATATTGACTTGATTTTTTGGAAACAAAGTACATTTCCTTGTTTATTAACTAATTGATTGACTAATTAAATATTTCGGTTGTTGGACTAGTGATGTGAATTAATTTACTCTCAAATGTAGATAAGGGTTTTCATAAAAGTTCTTCATAACTCAAAGGAAATAAGTTATGTCGAGATTTATTTTAATATATTTCTTTCATCAATAAATCAAAGAATACAAATGTAGCTTTATAGTTTAGACTCATTTATTTGATGGATTCTTTACATATTCTTTGCAAACCGAAGAATGTTTGTCAATTACTTCACAAAATAAGAATTCATGTAACTCAGACACATTCACAGAAACCTATCATACTGTGGTAAGTAATGAAACAAATGTACGGTGATTGAAGGAGATAAATTTTAGTCAATGCATAAACGTGTTCATGACGTTTATTTCTGAAGTAAAAGAATAAATTTTCTTGAAAGAAAGTTGATCAGTAAGAAGGAAGATAAAGCTGGCAGAAACAAAAAATTCCCAGTGTTTCACAATTCATTTAAAATATGAAGTTATAATGCGAAATTTCATTTTACACTATAAATAAGCTAATTTCATGATAACATAAATTTTATCAACATCTACACAACTTGGCAACATAACGACTAGGTATTGTACTGTGAGTTATGCATGAGGCTATATATTTCACCAAACTGCTCTGGTAAAAAATCATGAACAACTTATGTGAATCCCGCAAGCGGGATCGTTGATGCGCACTGCTGAGGAGTCCCACAATAGGACGAAACGGCCGTCCAGTGCTTCTAGGTTTTCACTGGTGGTCTAACATCAATCGGTTCATGATCTCAATCAAAAACTTGACAATTTCCACAACCCCTAAATTGATAATTATGTGTTTTAGTAAAAGCAGTTAATCTACTTACAAGTAGTTCAAGCATATAATAAAATATGTTAAGTGAAACTGTATACTTCATTCTGAGAACTCTATGGTGTTTCCGTAAAACGTTAATTGCTTTATAAATGTACAACTGAGCATTCCTGATTACAATACGCTAGACTGAAGAGAGTTCTCTGTCTTTCACCCTGATTCACAAGCGATTATCAGATTACACAGTGAATAACTCTAGAAATCGCTATTTCTCATTTTACAATGTATAATACCAATCCTTCAAAATTTTTTTGAAATGGTATGTAGTTGTTGAATTCTTAAGGAAATACATTTTTTGACAAATAAGTTCAGATAGAGTTTAGGTGGAGGCTGCCCAATTTACGAACTTGGAGGAAATGATTCATTTGTTATTACCAGATCAGTCAGGCGTCCTATAGTGGGACTCGTCAAAAGTGCGCATCCACAACCCATCCACGGCCGTACAGTGCTTCCAAGTGTCCATGGTGGTCTAGCTTCAGTTGACTCATGATCTCAACTATTGAAATCACTATAATATCGACAAATCCCCCTCTGACATTGATCAACATATGCTCATTAGTGACTGGCTTCAAGTGGTATTTCCTTGAGTTCTAGTGAGAAGCAGAGACCACTGGTGTTCAACCGGATCTGTTGTGAGATGGTAACTCATTGAAGACACTGATGGATGTGTCACTCAATTTCGTGGATTATTTGAAGTTAGACATTAACACCGTTGGACGACGGCCATCTCAGTGGTCCAATGATAGGTCCTGGGTTGAAATCTTGTGAGGCGGAATCGTGGATGCGCACTGCTGAGGAGTTCCACAATATAACGAAACGGCCGTCCAGTGCTTTCAGATTTTCCACGGTGGTCTATCTTCAATTGACTAATGATCTCAATTACTGAAATTAAATTTATATGGCAAACAGCAATCCTTGATTCACATATTACAATTTTACATGATATACTCTGCCTTAAACCTGGACAATTTTATAGATTATTAATTTGAATTTTTAATTGTAGAATCTGATGAAAAATTGTTCGAAAGTATATTTTTCATTCATATAATTGTGTTTTATTATAGTGCGAATTTTCCGGCCATTACAAATGCACTGAACACTGTGTAGATTGTTTATAATCAAAAGAATGATTTATTTGTAGCATGCAAATGAGTTGAAAATTAAATTGAACGAACTATTTACTGAAAAAAATACAATCGACTGTCTGATAACTTGGATGATCTAGTAAGTTTTATAGTTCCTATCAAACTGCACACTGGTATTTGCCGTTTTATTGGAAGCGAACACCACTACTTGAATTCG